GGACACCAGCACAGACACCTGTCAGCCCCCCTGATTTGTGACCCATCTGACAAGGACGGCCGGAGCCACTGTTTACAGCCCGGTGGCACTTTTGGCTGTGTGTGTTCCAGCTGCTGTTGCTGGGAGGACTTTCCTTACCAATTCAGATCAAAGGCTGCATCAGCACAAACACATGAGTTTTACAAGTCAGTCAGCTGTGCACTGTAACGAAGGCGTGCCCGAATGCTCCTTAACATTTTTCTTGCCATGCCCAACATTGGAATCAGCTTGTGCCAGGATTAAGATCAGGTAGACAGAAACTACCAGCCACAGTGTTGGCACCAGAGGACAAGTTGACTTTAAGCAAGACTTACCCAGTAGCTTTGAATGCACATACAGGACCAAGCCATAGTCTTACCCAGCTTTTTACAGTGGATCAAATGCAAACCAGCTTTTTTTTAACTACATAATCATATACACAGACTACTTCAGGATCTAGATACACCACCTCATGGCACATGCCAGAGGGTTTCAAGAGGTCCTGTAAAGAAATCCTTCATGCATCTGAACTATACCATTTAAAGATTAGGACAATTAATCTTGCAAAAATATCCATCATGCAGTTCCTGTTAAGCAAGAAACAGTGACGCATGAGGCATGGGGCAGTCACTGACCAGCATGAATGAACACAACAGAAGTCATAGTTTCCTGCACCATTATTTTGCAGGTGACTCCTAACTTTGAAGTTTTACAAGGAATAAGACAACCATTTTCAAATTTGACTATTTAATTTTGAAGGGAATGTAACCTAGGCTTAACTATTTTCTTTCCATATGTATCTGGTAGAGATGTATTTATCATCATGAGACTTTCCTCCTCCTCTTCCCTCCCACTTAACAGATCTTGACTTTGTGTGGCCCCTCTATGCCAGTATATTGTTTGTGCTTTTCGTAAGACCCTACTTTAAAGTATGACATGTTTATGTAAGAGGCATTGATGGCTAACACAGGCTTCAGCTCAGTAGGGCGTTTGGGATGGTGTCACAGAGGAATGCTCTCCCCTGATTTATGAGCATGTTATAGTTATTCAGGTGGAGTGGCAGGACCTGGCCGTAAGCACCATCATACAGATCAAATGTGTTTTAAGTTCATAGATCAGGCTGAAGTACTGCCAATCACCACAGGGTCATGGCAGTGGAAAATAAGCCCTCGATTTTTAAAAAGAAAGCAATCTCTGAAGACAAGGACCTGCCCTCCTCCTTAAGCCTTACTAACCAAAATCTTGCACTGTTCTTATGAACCCTGTTCTGCAATTTCATGACAGCATATGTGCTGATTCAGAGACAGATGCTTATGCTAGCCTGCAAGTTTGATTTACTACATGATTCTTTTCATAAGGCAAGTCCGATTCAGTTGACTGTTTCCAGATATTTAACTACTTGAAGACAAGCCCTTCAACTCTTCCCCCTTTAATCTGCTTTATTTATAATGGGTACAAGTTGAAGATACGTTCTTCAGAGGCATGCGACTGAAGTGCTCATGTAAGCCCATTCACTCTATACTGTGCCCCCCTATAGAAAACAAGCTTTGGAGCACCACCTAGTTCTGCAGCCATGACCCAGTGTTTGGCTGGATCCTTTCTATGCAAAGTATTTATTTAACGTCTTCAGCTCTCAGTGAACTAAGTTCCCCTCATCTGCTTCACAGTGTGCATAGCTTTACAGCTTGGTCATATCTGTAGCTTGCACCTTTTGTTAAGAGGTGTTCAGCTTTATTTTTTCCTTATGCTGTTATCAATTTGACAACACAACTCCATAAACCTGTTCTCATATAAAAGCCTATACTGAATTAAAACTCCTCCTGTTAAGTAACACAAATGCAAGTCCTCCATAGTTTTGTAAGAAAGGGGAAGCAGGAAAACAAGTTCTCAGCATTTCTCATACTAAGACTCCTAGAACTGCTTAAGTGAAGCCATTTAGGATACTACCTGTTTCTAGGAAAAAGGTATAACTTCACCCCTACAAGTCTGCTTAATAAATAAGTGAGCTTTAAGCTGCTCCTCTTACAGGGCTAGTGAAGAGGTTACCTTGGCATACATGATTTCATGTTCAGGAGTCACCTCTGCAGCGAGCATACAACACATCACAAGGAAGTCCTCACTAGTTTTTGCTGTCTCATCCTGTCCAGAACAAGTCTGACTCTGTCTTCCATGCACGCTCCCAGCAGGCAGCTGTGGACAGTGAGAGACAGCACCCCTTCATGCTCAACAAATCCACAGATCCTGGTGTATCACTGGCTGCAGCCCCTCACCTTGGTGGCCTGTTCCAGTATGAGAATGTCTTTCTTGTATAGGGGAGACCAACACTGGACAGTAAAAGTGGCCAGAGAAAATAAAATGTCCACACATTGTGTTTGAGTATTAGGCTACATAACTGAAGAGTGCATGTACAGTATCACATGGATGTTTCCATTTATTTCTAATAATTAATGGGTGTGCAAAATCAGGGGGTTTTAAAATTAAACTGTTTCCCCAGACCTGAGGTTCATGCAGTCAAACACTCATCTTCCCTTTCAGAAAACATCTGTAAGTAGTGATACACTATTTTTTCCGTAGCATGGAAGACAATACAATAGTCTGTGTGGCACATCAGACAGCAGTTATCATCAAAATGTCCGTGGGCCATCAGGCATTTCTTTGCTAAACAATGTCGGTGTATTATTCAGGTTATGTTACACCAGCGTTTAAAGAGATCTAGAAGCTGAATGATTTGGAGAGGCCTGGTGAGACGGTTCCTCCCACAGGATCACAAATGATCTCTACACGTCCCGCTCACATTCACCAGAGGGTGCTTGTGTGGTACAAGGCCAGGCTGTGTAAAACTGGCTGGCAATCCCGTTTTGGGTCCAGGGTGTGGGAAAGGAAATAAAAGTTTCCTTTTTTCATCTACTGAAATGCTTTTAGCTCTCAGATTTGTCATAACAACAATACACTTAAGGAATAATCTGATGCTGTCTTAAACCTGTGTTCAGTACAGACTGCTAGAACTGCCTTTTTCAATTTGATATGCTACACTGATGTATTGCACCTTTCTGTATCAGTTTCATTCCCTTATGGTGGATGAAATTCAAAGGTATCACACAAATAGCTAGCCCCAAGTGAGGCAGCTAAACCTACAAAACTGGATGTACAATGGATATGATGGAGTCCAAGCTAATTAATTGCTATATATCCATCATCATTCTGCCATTACAAAGTTTCTTCCCCTTCCTCTCAAGGGCTTTTTTCCTTCACTCTAAACCATTTCTGACTTCTTTCCACTGATGTCCAAAGCTCCAAAGCTCTCTTAGATGAATTTAGGCTTCTTCCCCAGGCCTACTGCCATCATTTCCATGCATGTCTGTCTGAATTTCTTGCTGTTTTCTTCCAAAGGATGTGTATCTTAGAGTTTAGTCCTGAAGATCTGAATTGAACAAACGTCCTCAGTGCCTTCTGGATGATGCTCTGTAGGTGTTTTCTGCTCCTGCTTCACTCTCTGAGACCTGTTCTGAAGTCAGCAGAGACGGGAGCAAGGCGCTGTAAGTACCTTCTCTCAGTATCTCCTCTCCTCCAGTTTCAGTGAAGGGATGACTAGGCGGGGAGCAAACTTGAACCTTCCTCACAGCCCTCTGCTTTCCAAGCAGAGGCCCAGGCACACCCGCAGAGAGGCACCACACTAACCGGCAGCTGGCACCGTCTGTCTCCCAGCAGCAGGGCATTAATAACCATTAACAAAATGCTATACAGTTCCAACATGATGTCAGCGGTATTAACCTCTGTGATTCCTGTATCAGCACTAGTGAATCACTGGGTTTCATTTTTTTTCTTTAAAACTTACCTTTGAAATGTTCTATAGTGTTAAAACCAACAGTGGCTACTTAGAATAGCTCTTATTTTATAGTTTTGAAGATGAACTATCAGTAGTGACTATGTTGAGAAACATCTGAATTTATCTCAATTTTTTTTTACCAAACTTTAAAAAAAAATGAACCAAAACAAAGCCTTCATACCCTACAGACGTGAGCAGCTTTTGGGGGGCACTAAGGATTTGCCACCTATTAGAGAAAATAGGTGCTGGAGATTTGGGATTTTTCTGGAAACAGTTTATGACCAAATTACTCTGAACTGATGTATTATAGCAAATCTGCTACTGCTTTCTGGGGTATGAAATAGAAGTACCTTTTCTCAGTTCAAAATGGTAACCAGAGCACAAACAATACTTTTAAAATGGTATACTCATAAAGCCTCTTACAATCTTACAGTATCTAGGTATGCACCGCTTCCTAGCTCAAAACAAAATAAATGCCAAGACTGTAAACAGATGAGATAAGGTCTGTAGGAAGAGAAAGTGTATCATTTATTACAGTGATAAAGATAACTGGAACAAGATACAGTTTGCCATGTATTCAGCCACATCTATATTCTTACGTCACTAATAGGAACACCCCTGCTGAATTACATGGTGATGATTCAGAATCAATATGCCCTAAGATGATTTGAAAGACTGCTGGATTTTTGAGACTTTTTTTCTGTAGTTTCAGATTAAAGTCTTATTTCCATTGATCATATACTTTGTTATTTATTGGCAAACTCCAAGATAGGAGATATGCCTAATCCAAACTCAAGTTAAGTGCAGTTACATCCCCCTATCTCCTACAGTGCTTTAAGATGTCCACTTTATCACAGTGAAATGTTTACTTCTAGAAAATAGGATGGGGCCGTCAGGTAAATGTTTGCATGGCAAACTAATTCTGCCCATCTCCAGGTCTACACTCATGAATAACAGCTATCAGACTTAATAGGTACAGGGAGTGGATGTGCAAGACCAGATGGAATGGGAATGCTTTGTACTTCTGTGCACTGTATGAGCCACACAATGCAGTGGTTTCTTCAGCCAGGATTCAACATGTTTAAAAAAAAAAGCTAAAACGTGTTAAACACGTTTCAACGTGTTAAAAAAAAAAAACAAAAACAAAAACAAGAAGTTCATGTGATATAGACCTTCAATTGAAAATTACGAGAGGATATAGAAGATTTGCCACTTATGGTTGCTGTGTGTAGAGCAGCTGGTCCCAGTGGAATGAAGGGAAGGATAAACCCATCTTCTTTGTGAACAACACAGCAACAAGGGATACTGCCACCAAAAGCAAAGTCCGCTCTGTACCAGCTCAGTACAAACCTCCATCACAGGAAGTGTCTCAGGGTGAGTGAGCTAAGAGCACAGCACAGGCACTGCAGTCGTGTGGACGCACATGACAGGAGGGAGAGGATGCAACATTTTCAGTTCTTCAGCCCTGCTGCAGATCTCCTGAGAAAGTGTATGCTTCAGGTTAAACCAGGTCTTAGAGACACCCTCTAGCAGGCAGTGAACCAGCCAGCAGCACCTCAGTGAGAGGCAAATCCGCATCCCTGTGGAAATGGCAGAAGACTGATTAAATTAATCCCATGCCCTTTCTAAGAGAAGACAGTAAGAGATAGTGAGGGGCAAAATTTGTACAAATGTACCGGTGTCTTCTTCCCTTTCTGGCAGAGAAAAGGAGGAGCAGATTCCACATGCCCACCCCTCCCCTGATCACAGCAGTCAGTAGAAGTAGGGGGGAGAAGGGGTTTTCTGCAAAGCCCAGGCCTTTGAGGCAGCAGAAGGGCAAGAGCTCAGTTTTACGACTCTTGGCCCCAACACAATTTACCATTTACAAACTAATCCTCCTCCACTGGAGAGCACAAGGCCTGCTAAAGCTCTCATGTCCACTTCTCTGATTCTTCATTGTCCACACTGACAGAGAGAAGCCGAAGACCTAATCGGTGTGTAATTCAATCGCTGTCCAGGCTGTGTCACAGCACAATGCTCTGCTTGTAGTGCCACGGGTTAAGTCAGCCAGCTACTGTTATGCACCACAGCAGGTGTGAAGAATATCACTCGGTCTAACTGTGTGTTACCACTCTGTCAAGGTTCGTTTCTGACGCTACTTTCACTCACCACTTAATGATTGGTTTTCCTACTGGCAGCAAGCTAATTGTCGGCTGTATGGTAAAAGGGCATTTTCAGTATTTTTGACCCTGAACTGGGAATTCCTGTACTGCATAATATCGGCTTCATACAAAGTAAAACCCTCTGTTCTCCAGATCCCCAAAACATGGAGGCCTGTTAAAAAGCTCTTTATTTCCTTAGTCTTAATCCAGCAATGAGTAAATTATGACTTACTACACCTGAAGTGCTTCACTCTGTTGTTCCTCACCAATCAGGACACTGGATATTGCCACACACCTTTCAGGAATGGGTTAAATTCGCAGAGCTCCTTGGTACCTAATTACATTTAAATCACCAAGACACAGCTGCTTCCAAAAATTCTTATCCACATGTAGGTGATTAAAAACCTCCAGAAAACAAGACTACATGTGCTGCCACACTTAAATACAGATCTTGGGCCACTTCGAGAATGGCATTTGGTTTGTTTTTTAAAAAACATTTACTACTCCAAAAGGAGTAGAAAGTTGCACTTCCATTTTTCTTGAGTTGTTCCACAGTGAAAGGAAGCTGAGGAAGAGAAGTCCAGAGGAAGAAAGCAGGGCAACACGTGCCACTTCATTGGCAGTGAAGCAGCAGTGGGTGTGTGTACCATCCAGCCGTGCTACCAGGCAGATAAGGACAGTGGGAAACTACTGCTGATAAACCCACAGCAGCACGAGGGAACTGTAATCTACAGAAAGTGGCAAGACCACAGGACAGTACCCAGGAGCATGTCAGAGGATGTCTTCCCCTCACACAGAGGTACATCACACACTTGTAATAGTCGTGTGTAATGTTTCTTTCAATGTATAACAGTGAAACACCCAAGGGATGTGAGCACAGAATGAGCACAGAAACCCCCAATTTCTAGTGTATCTATTTCCAGAACGGCCTTGAGAATTTCGTTCATGTTCAGTTTCTAGTGCTATTTCTCTAATTCCTTAATTTTCATGTACAAGCAATACAAATAGGAGGAACACCTGACGGAAGAGCTACACTGGGGCAGAAATTGTACAGGCCTGTACCAGCAGGAGTAGTTTTTCATCCAAAAGAATGAACAACTGAAGTCAGGTGGATAACCTGACCAATCCAAGAGGTGGATAAACCAAAATGGAAACAACTTCCCTGCCACCACATAGATGATCATAAATCAATATACTTGGCTGTCTAGAGTTATTTCTATGTAATTCTATACAAGAATTATGATTACCAATCTTACCTAATCCTGTAAAAGGATGAAATACTTTGTCACACTTTCAAATCCTGGGAAGGCAGCGAGGAGACAAAGACATATGATCCAGCTTCTTACCACTTGCTACAGAAAAGGTCCTGATAATTATTATTCAAAATATGAACTGGACATCTGTATTTACAGGGTTTAACAAGTCTTGCATAGTGCTGAAGCCAAGCTGCTTATTTCACCCATATTCGTCTACTGTCATCATTGAGGGCTGACTTCCAAACATGGCCAGACACCAGTTTACATGGCCAGGGTCATGAGACATTCTTGCATCCTGAATCAGGATTTAGCAATGCCATGTGCCAAGCTTTAGAAGCATGCAGAGCATTTGCAACTGAGCACCTGCGGAAATCCCATTTCCTGACAAAGAGAGGCCTCCAATATTCATGTTTTTCTCCTGCTCTTAGGCCATGCTGTAATGAAATATGGCCTGAATAATCCTTTTATAGCTACACAGGGAAATGTCCTTGCTTAACATTTCCCTCTCCTTATGGAGGTTCAGTGGGAACTTGGTTGAGCAATCAGCAAAGATACACAGGATGAAAAGGCTGGCTGATGGGATATGACCAAAACCACGCACAGGGTAGTGATACTAAGTGGATACACAGGTTATCAGAGTAACTGGAAGGACTGGTAACTTTAGTGAATATAGGTAAGAGGAGGGGACCCTAACGAGTCATATTAAATTTGGTGTTACTGCTCACAGTGACATGTGCAGGCACAACCAAAAGCATACAGGCTCATGGAAAATGAGACCAGGAGAGCTGTAGTTGGCAGCATGTGAATCATCAGAGAGTGCAGGACTGCACAGAGACCTCTCCTAGGTCAGTGAGAACAGCTGAAGGCAAGCTGGAAGGGACTTAGAAGGGACTGGCTGTGAGGCCAGCAATGGGAATGGAATGAGTTATGCTGTAAGACTCCATGCTCTGCAAGACACTCCCCCAGTATCTCCGGCTGCAGATCTGGGTTGCCCTTACTCTAAGCTGCCTTCTTCCCTTTGAAGGTCATGATTCCCTTACCCCAGGAATGTGTGTCTTGTCCTGTCCCCTTTGCTCTAACCCCAGGCTGCTGCTCCTCTACCTTTGACATAGGCTATCCATGCCCCCTCCATAAACTCTATCTGCTACCTCCCAACCATCCACATCTCTGTATGCCCCCACACTGTCACCTCACCCTCCACCTCCCTGACACTGTGCCCTGTGGCTGCTTCATAACCCCAGATGGTCTCTGCTTTTGTTTTCTTTCCTTGCTGCTGGCTTTGGCAGTGTGAGTGTGAAGCCTGAGCTATCACACGTAGCAGACTACGAGGCTGCACACTGTTCTGCACCTAATCGCACCTCTGCCAGGCTGCTCACTGGAGCTTTAACCAACGACTCCAAACGCTGACCAACTGCGAAGAACTACCAGCCCTGAAAACTTCTCACACATCATCATGTGCCTGTATCATATCTTCAACTGACAATACAGGTTTGGCAGTTTAGAGATCAGTCATTTTCCATGGCCCTGCTGGTCTTTAGTGGTCCCTCAGCCTCATTTTGGGAACCACCATCCATCACGGTGCCATGCAGGCTCAGTGCATGCAGAGTGACAGCTGCTATTTCCCAATTCCCCAAGGCAATGCTAGAACAACTTCTGTCTGCTAAATACTAGGTATAAAAATCAGGTCTCTGTGGCACACTCCCTCTTCCTTCCTTCCTGCTGATCAGCTCTTCCTCCGAGCATTTCAGGGGACCTACCCCCTCCTCTTGGCCATGACAGTGTACATTCAAACAGCTGCTAGGGCTGGATGAAGCACCTGCTCTGGGCAACAGCAGCTGGAGTTCATTTTGGGTCCAAAGGGCCGAGGCCCAGCAGGCTGACCGCATGTGCACTAATCCAGTATCATCACCAGCTCCACTAACAACAGGTGCCTCTTTGAAGAGGGAGGGAAAAACTATTTGGGGAGGAATCAGAGCTTTATAAAGGACATTATGGGCCAAGTCCTCAGCTCGTACATGCTCAGTTAAAGCATGTAGTCTCTTGAAGTTATATGAGTAATGCTCACATATACCAATAAGAGTCATCCCACTCTCAGTGCTGCTTCTCTTTTTGGTTTTCCGAAGGATTTTTCACCTCCTCTCTTTGCTCTGCACTGATCTTCCTTCAAAAGAAGAAAAGAAACATTCTTGTTCCTCACTTCAGACCAAACAGCTGAAGGTCACAAGCTACATATACCAGACTTCAACATCCTTCTCTACATAGGTAACACAATCTTACCGTTGCCTCACAAGATGTGTCCCTCAGTCCTGCTTTAGTCCTGGAGTCCAGATCGTGAGCATGTATCAACAGGAACCAGGGTGATCCCATTCTGGAACAGATCAAATCAAACCCTGTCAAGGTCCCCTAAGAGAAGTCTTTCAGCACAGGCATCATAAGAATTGCCATGCACTTGCTTGGGCCAGTGGTCCACATAGCCCAATGTGTTATTTCAACATATGGCTACTACAAAATGACATGGGAAGAGAGCAAAAACCCCCTGCCAGAAACGGTGGCCAAATTGGTTCCAAGGAAATTTTTCTTCTTAACTCATTTTGCTAGAAGTTATGACCAAATGCATACAAGTCTCTTTTTTAAGTCCCTCTTAGTGTATTACTGATAAATGCTTGTATTAATGGAAGCTTCTATGTTTTTTCTTTTCTGAATCCTGCCATTCTGAGCTCCAAAGGTCAGTTCTGCAAATCTGGTCTCACTCCTTGCAGTTATTTACACTTGTGCTTGTTTCTAGAAAACCTGGAAGCTCTCTGGAGCCTGAGAATGGAGCTGGATTCACAAAGGCGGCACTGCAGAGCACTGCCAAATGCACTTTGCTCACACAATGTGAGTAAAAGCAGGCTTTCCAAATTCCTGTGGGTGCACTAGTAGAGGAAAACATGACCTTGGTACACCTTGCTCATGTGACCCAGTCACAGCCTTTGTAACTTTGTATCCAAAATTTATTTTCCTGAACGCTACATCTTTTAATTCATGACTTTCCGAGATTTAGATTTGTTGAAGTCCCTTTCCCCTTGGGACCATGTCTCAGCTGGGTTATATTACAGAAAGAGGGCAAGCAGAGACAGTTGAAGAAGCAGAGCTGGCAGTAAGAATAGCACAGGCAGAAAAAACAGTCTCCAATCCATAACAGTTACTGGCACCTCACCCACAAGTACACACAAGTGTAAATTGTACTGTGTTGGACAAGTGTAAATCATACTGTGTTGGCCCGCTCTTTTAAATAAGTCTCCAAGAATTCCCCTTGACAAACTGAAGTACAGGCTAGATAGTCCCATTTCCTCACCAGTGAACGGACATTCACACAACCACACAGGAACGTCCAGTGCTAGAAACATATTCTCAGCTGCTGCAGACTCATGGTTTCCCTTTGAGGCTTTAACCACAGTTCCAAAGTTAGAAAACATCAAAGCATGTATAAACATACAAAGAAGGCAATATCGCACACTTGCATCAGTTTTGTCCACATATATGTCTGAGGAAACCACATGGCAATCACCACTTTGCACACTTGATACTGAGCAGCAGGGATACCTACAAGTTACTGCCCTTCACAGCAAAAGCAATAAAACACTCCCAGCATCTGACAGGCACAGAGCTCTTCCTAACCCTCTGAATCCTCTCTGCAGCTTGCTGTCACTGGGCACATTTCACACAGGCCAGCTGCACAGGATTTATTCAACCAGTTTTGGAGTATCAAAGCTAACTTTTTTTTGTCTTTGCCCCAGGCAGGCACTTGGTATGCAGTATTTAAATCAGAGAACAAAATGTTCTGTGAAATTTGTAAATACTCAGCACAGTAATTTCTAAATTCCAAAAGAGATAGCAACTGGAGCTAGTAGTTTAAAAAACAAAAAGTAAAGCATTTCACTGCATCACTGTAATGCCACATATCCTAAAGACCAGAACAAATAACTTCCCAAGATTATCAATCAATTAATGGTTGTGACTACCTAAAGTGATAGGAGCCAAACACACTCAGAGTTACACCTCGTAATTCCAATGAAATCAGGAGAATGCACAATTCAACAAGTGCTCTGCATAAAGATGCTAAAATTGAAAACGATTTGTTTGATCCTTGCAAATAGACACAAAAGATTTTGCCTGGGACATACTGCCACAAAGAGACTACAATCTAACACCTACTATTATAAGATTTTTATAATATATTTAAAGCCATTAAAATGGAATTAAGCAGAAAATGATAGGGAGATACCCTGGGGAACCACAACACTTAAAGACTATGAAAGATAATATGTAGATGGCCTAAAAGAGGTGTTTTGAGCAGAAAGCAGCAATAAAGGGTCATTTGTGACTGGAACTGGAAGAGGAATTACTTCATTGGAATTTAACGTAGCCTTTAGGGTCTATGATGTTTGAGTGAAATTATCCACTTCTGTTTTGTCTGATTCACCATCACCAAATCCATATTAATACAAAATTTAAAACAAACATTTAGCTGATGAATGTTCACATTAAAGTTTCAAATAAAGGACCTTTTCATATTTTTTTCTCAAGCATTTAAACTCTGAAAGGATTCTTTTTCAAACAAAACGTGTTCATAAACCCTGAAAAGGGTTCATTCATTATTTTTTGGTGACTATGGAAGCTAAAATATTTGGAATAATAACCTCTTCACCTGCAAACATTTTGCACACCTCTTACCACAATTTCTTCTCTCTCAAGCCAAGTAGCAAATGACATCAGTCAAACCATTTAACTCCCAGGAGCACCTGTACTTTAGAAGCAGGTGCTCTTGGTACTAGTAGGGACTCTATGAACACTGATTATCAGTAGCATACAACAGTAAAACAATAAATGGTTTCTGGATCTTCATCCTTTGCTTGTAATTTACTTCTGCTAGCCCAGATATTCTGAGTGTGTACAGAGTGCATCTGCTCATGTTCACATCAGAGAGGCAGGTCTGATGCTCCCTCAAGGGCCAGCTGGAGCACAGAGTGCACCTACTAAAGTGTACCCTGCCTGGAAGGCATTACCTGCAGTCACTGATTTCAGACGGCGCAGACTGTACCAAAAAAAGCACTTCTTTTTTCAACACGTCAAGTCTTATTTTCTCATTTGTCCAAAAGTAACTACAGATTCTCACCCACAGCTGTGGAAAGGATGGTAGAACAGAAAGGCAAGGTATACAAATTATGACAGACTTCAGGCAGTTTGGGATTGCACAACACATTGCCTGGGGTTCACCACATGTTTTCAGAAATTCCACAGAATCCCCTTAAATTTGCTTCAGTGCTGAGCCTCAGTGGCTTCAATCGGCAATAAGTGACTGGACTTATGATATACTGTGGACAGATTGCAAGGATGAGCCTTAAGGTTTTTGGCCTATGCGTTTTTAAATGTACCTTGAAAAAACAACTGCAAAATCTCAGAGGCAGATGAACCCTGCCAATTTGTTCTAATGTACTCCTGAGCACAGCCTCTTTAAAAAAAATTAAACGGGTAGTATTAATATATAATTAATAGTTCACTTGCATCTTAAGTGTATTTTTAAAAGATGTTTATAAGAGGAGAAATGGAGATTGAAGGGCCGGTACTGCTGCCTAGGCTGAAGCTTGCTCAGGCCCTCTGCAGGCACCAGGCAGAGGCAGGGAGCACCGACAGCCCCAGAGGTCCAGCTCTCCTTGGCACCTCGCTGCCCAAGCCAAACCACCGCCTTCCTGAGCACAGGCAGAGCCAGGGCTCTGAAAGACACAGATGAAGTCTAGTCGGCACACCTAACAATTTTGTAAATACAAGGATGGAAGACTAGGGGAAAACAACTCGGTGTAGGTGAATCGTCAACCTTTAAAATTGCATTGGAAAGAGATATGTGCTTAAGAGAAGATAGTGCTATGCAGCTCCTAGACCCAAGTTAGCAGCGGCCGCAGTGCAGTTTCACCAGCCCGAAGAAGTCTACACACATGTAAGCAGCCACACGCACTTGAACTCGGCCATACGCAGCCTCACTTGAGGTACAACAAGATACCTGAAGGTGTCCGACATAAACCAGGTTGAGGCAGGACAACAGTCACAGCCAAGAGACTACCTGCGCAGTCAGCTGAGGTGCAGTTACATCTTCCAGGCTCTCACACATCCCCAAACCTGCTGTGGGCATGGAGATTTCTCAGGGGCCCACAGAGGGGAGCATGGGAGCAAAGGGAGAGGATGAGTCTGCCTGAGCACTGTGGCTGCAGCAGCAGCTGGAAAGAGCCTACAAGAGAGAGAAAAGGGAGGGATGCCTGGGGATGGGCGGAAGGGCGAGGGCAGGTGCTGTGCAGGCAGGGTGCACCCTGAACACAAGTCACAGGGCAGCTCAGCACCAGCCACAGTGGCCACAGAGGCTCCCTGCTGCGCTGCAGGGCACTGGGCCTCTCCGGCCCCAGCAGCACCCTGCACGAATTAGGAAACCCTTCTATAACTGTTCTATGACACAAGTTAAAGATAAGCTTTGCTTTTATTTCAGAAACTCTTAGGAGCTTGTCTTCTAAGTTTGTTTTAGACATACCCACAGGCTGTGGGCATATTCTGTCTGAAGGACAGATTTCAGTCAGTAAAGTTTCAAAGAACTCTCTACGTATCACAGTGGTCTATATTATCCAGCGTTTGGAAAGTTCCTTAAGGAAGAACTTCATTGCGACAGAGAGACAAATGAACCAACTTCTCAGTATCTGTGCCATGCAGACGTGTCAAGGAAGCCTACGGAACTGAACTGCCCAAGATAAGTTGCATCAGAGGCACAAAGTGTCGCAACTTTATCAGAGTACTGATGCAAAGTGGGAAAAGTGAATGAAGGCAAAAAAGACATGGCTGTTTCCAGTACAACTGCAGAACATCCTCAAACATCTCAGCTGGCTTTAAACACTGCAGTAATGGATGTTTTGCAAATATAAAAATGTCAGTGAGAGAAAGAAAATCTTTGATTCTCTCTAAAAGGAAATCAATGGAAAACTAAGCTTTGGAGTATTTGAGGCGAGTGCCAAAAAAAAAAAGGCACTTCAAAAATTACTTCCGAATCAAAATTAATCCAAATATTTTACAAACAGGATTCCATTTGGTACCTTATTTTAGTAAATTGAATACATATAAAATACATGTAGATACAGCATTGCATAGTAATTTTCTGTACCTATAAGCCAAAAAAATAGGTTCCTGTTTGCTTGGTTTGATACCAACAAGATCAAGACTGATTTCAAAGGGGCTAGGCTTTAACTTTTACTTTTGGAAAATCCTTCTCTTGTTTCACTAAAACACGCTGATTTCACAGCACTGAAATGAACTGGACCTTTCCATTTGCTCAGTTACATACAGACAAAAAGCGTTTTCCAGAATGTCCACCTCACAGCCTGGTCACAGTGCTGTTGTCACCCCAGGGCCATCTCATGTTTTGCTGATGACTAGTTTTACTGTGAGACAGTTAAAAAAGGTTCTTTTTTTATGCTTACTTAAGTAGTAAGCTCCCAAATTTCAGGCTGCTTTTTTAACTTTATGAGTCATCCAGTGCAAAAAGGCAACAAAACAACTCAGAAGTCTTGCTGGCTTTTCCTCCATGGAAAAAGAAAATAAAAAAGAGTGGGATCAGATAAAATAATGACATGAAGCACCTGCTGAAAATGGAAAAGCATACAGAAAAATGGGTTAAGTGACTGTAAGCCCAATACAAGCAATTGTAAATTCATGGGTGTTTGTATGAATCATTCTCCATTTCCTGCCAGAGAGCTTAGGTTTCACTTAATTACGAAACAAAATCATGAATGAAGAAGGCTAATTCACAGGCATACATATCATGCATATGTTTACTTATTACATTTTCCTCACACAGCTCTCTGTTTTCATCATAGCTATTGATGGGCACTGAATGATCACATAAGAAAAAAGTGGCACATTAGATACACTATTTGCAAAGCACAAGAAAAAAATTTGTCACAGCTAGAAAGAAGCTAAGAGATGGTAGCTAGGTAGAAGCAACAGACAGCTCTTGCTAGCTGTGGTTAAGGAACAAACAATATCAACTCCAGATGACAAAGTGCAGTTTAAGACCCCAGCTTTAAATGAGAATCAAGGTAGAAAAGGGCCAGATACAACCAACTATTTGCAAAGTAGTCTCAGCAGAAAGGATATTTTCAGATGACTGCTAAAGCCCACTGACAGAAGGCAGGGGGGGAGTAGGGGTGTATGTGGATGTGTGTGTAAAAGAGTTTATTTTGCTGGAATTTTAATTGCAAGTTCTGTATATCACGCTGTGGTTGTTTGGCTTCCCACTCTGCCATACACTTTCAACACTCTCTAAAATGTGTTGCACTAAGATCACGTCAAATTATAAAAATAAAGACATCTTTCATCAAGGCATGTGCGTAACACTACACATTTAAGTAATCCTGGATTATGGGAATAAACAGGGTCAATTCTGTCACCAACCCTATTTACAGATGTCACCATCTCTTTTTGCAATGACTCACAGGTAACTATCTGCTCTTGCTTTCCCTCGGTCAAGATTGCTCAGCGTCCAACCCTCTTCACCCCAATATCCGTTCACTAAGGGAATCTGTAAAGTACCTTCATACTTCCAAATTTAAGGATCTAACCCAGATTCACTTGTCTCAAAGTCGTACACAGATATTGTTACCCCAAGCGGGTAATAACTTTTCTGAAGCTCATAGTTTGGGAGAGAGATGCAAGACTTTCCCTTCAGTTTAGGGCAGGTGGGAAAAAAACCCAACATATCTTAAAAAGAACCCTACCTGAGAGCAGGCAGCTGCACTTACTTCATGCCATGCTGAAATGCTGTAACTAAGAAACTGAAGAAAGCGCTTGTTCCCCAGGACACAGCATTTCTTGAAAACCAAGGCTTGAGATCACAAGTTTTTGGAACAGATGATGCTTTTCTCAGTCCAGATACTACCAGCATATGATACCACCTCACCCTATGTAGCAAGAATCCCCACATTACTTTGGAATGGAATTTTTCCACAATACATATGATTACAAATGACGTGTATTTCCTTTTGTTCTATGAAGCACAGAGCAAAATAAATTTAACAGTGTTCTCATGAAAAGAGGGGTTAAACAATGTATGGAGATTAAGGAAATTTAGAGTCAGTTTTCAGATCAGCCCCATACAGCATAAGAGGCCTTAAGAAATGTCTTTGCATCTCGGTTCTCCATCACTGAATTGGGATAACTTAATATTGAGTCCCAAGGGACCTGCAGTCCACTAATACAGAGAGAAACATCTATATGAGCTGATATGCTCAGATATCACTGTCATGAACTCCTACTTAACAAAATACAACCACAAACTTTCCTACGGAGACACTAGTAACTTGCCTTCTACTGTGATTTCACACTTGAAATTATTTGGGCTGTCCACAGAAAAGAGGTCATCAAGTATTCTGTTAGATTGGGATGCCAATGCATATACACACACTGACACCACACTTGCTCTTCCTCCTCTGAGGCAGTCAAAGGATTATTCTGAAATAATAAAACACTAGCAACTGTTTTACTGGCTAAAACACAGACAGTTGGAATGGAGGGAGCTAAAAGGTAACTGTTAGAAGTACATCTTCCCAGCAGAAGTCCCTCATGCCCCAGGAAAAAAAGAGGACCCTTACTGAGAACTTCAGAACAAGACCATACATTGTTGAACTGTCTTGTCAATGAATAATTTACGGATTTATTTAGTCTTGCAAACATTACAGGTATATTTTACTCACACGTGGTTTTACTCAAATGCTTAAAATAAGCATATACTTAATGTTATGGGCTTTTTAAAGTGAACTTAGCACACAGTTTTACATTTTATTTGCTGAAACTTCAAATTTAACTACAGCACAAAGAATGAGAAGAACGAAAAAATGGACAATTACAGTGAACAAAAAAGGCCGAATAACACAGGAGCTGGAGGCACTGAACTATGTCAGTTTGTCATGAGCAATTTTCCCACATCTTTAGGTGACTACTCCCAGACAATGTGTGCTCTGCTCTAGGTAGTCAGATCCAATAACAATTAAAACACCCAACGGAATAACGATTCTGCCCTGAGCATCCTGGATTTGTGGGGGAGTGGGGTGATCTGCTAGAAAAATATTCCACAGAACGGCATGTAACATTAAGCTTACTAAACAGAAAGTCACTGAACAGAAAATTATCAAATTCGAAGGGTGTTGAGATTACTCAGATTTCCACACCACTGGCTTGTATCTATTAAATAAATGCTCAAGCAGTAACATGTAGAGCTCCATCCGTACAGCAAAGCAGGTGAAAGTCAGAAACACGTATTTTGAAGTTGGTGTACAAACCGAGTACTAACACACTGAGGTGGTTTAATCTGCCTAGACAGGACCAGTTTGACCCAAACATTTTTAGCGTTCCTCAAAAAAGAGCAACAATCTACCCTGTATCCAAGACACACACAGATACACTGTTAAGTTCCCAGGGTTTTTTCCCAGCTCGTTCCCTCCCCACGACTGCATCTCCCTGCACGCTGCTATCAGCTGCTCCGGCCCCGGCACAGCCACGCCGCGCTCTCGCCCCTCGTGGGCTATTGAAGGCGGTATTTCAGTGTGGGCGTCCCTGGCGACCGTCCCTCAAACAAGCTCGACAACGGCCGAGGCACCGGCCGGCCCTTCCCGCGCTGGCAACCGACGCCCGGCCGCGGGGAGCCGCGCCGGGGCCGAGGTGCC